GGACCCCCTCCGACCAAGTTGATTAACCCAGCTGTCGGAGGGTTCCTCCCCAACGAAGTTGGTAACAGCTGATTTGAAGATCTAAACCAGCTTGTCGAGAGGAACCCCTCCCGACAAGATGGTATACAGATCAGCTTGTCAGAAGAGATTCCTTCCGACAGGCTGGTTTGAAAACCGGTTCGCCTGTTGATCCATGTAAGGTCTCAAGGCCGGGAGGAGCCCCTCCCGGCCTCAAGACTTTATGACTGTTTGCGGGTTTTTGACACAAAGTCCCTGCGGTACCCGCCCAAAGTACCGCCGGTACCCGCCCAAAGTACCGCCGGTACCCGCCATATGCCAGCGGGTGCGGTACCTGGTGCCATTTCTTGGCTAAAAACGCATCCGGTACCCGGGTCCCATGGGGCCATCTTTACTTTGTTCGGTGTTCAGTAGCAGTGTCTGGCTACACTGACTGCTTGAATGGTGTCAAATTGACCATTGTATAAAAATTTCTCTTGCTAATCTACCACTACATTTGATTTGAGTTTGTGTGCCCCTGATAGAGAAATACAGAATAAAAGGAAAAATTGCCCATAGCAAGCCATGATGGCAATTCAGATCACCCACATGTTATACTTTATGCATCAAAACAAGCTGTCCACTACACTCCTGGTGCTACCCACAGCTAAATAGCACCAAATATCATCTTTTCCACCATCTTGTTATAGCTGCACTCAATTTTTATATTTAGCAAATAAAAATTGCTGTCTTATGCACAGTTGATATTTCACATAGAGGACTCAATGCTAAGCTAGAACTCTGAGTAGCAGTTATCTATTGGGACTATTGTTTTTCACTGCATGAAAAGGTGGATGGCTGCCTTTTTTGGTGCAGTGTTTTGGTTGCAGTTTTGTCTTTATATATCTACAGCTTTTTGACTTCAAATAGGACTCAACAACTTACTCATTCCTTTAAAGTATATTTCTGTTTGCTGCAATAATTCTTTTCTAGCCCTTTCTTTTGTCTATTTATTTTGTATTATATCCTCTTTTCTCCTTTGTTGTCTTTCAGTTCTCAGTTTCCTCTTCTTAAAATGTTCATGTCTAGGTGTCAGCATGATTTCTTCTCTCATAGTGTTTATACAGTTCAACATGCCTTATGTTGTTTTTGGTAATGTATTCAAATATAAGTAAAAATTTTAGGGGACCTGTCAGCATGGTTACTTACTTCAGAAATAAGAGGAATGATTTAAAATTGATGAAATGTTGTCTGTTCTTAGATTTTGAGGAAAATAGAAATACGACAGATGCAATGTATACACAAATGTACAATAGGATAATCAATAATGCAGTCTGTGTGTTAGATACAATATCTTGTGAATGGTAATGTGAAATTTGCTTTTAGGCTGAAAAATATTCACTATATATACTTCCCAGGTATTTGTAAGTGAAACTGCAACGGTGGGCCGCTACGTTACACTACGCTATTTGGCCACTACATGTTAGCGTAGTTGCTTTTTTTTTGCTGGAAATCCTGTAGTGTAAGTTCACACTACACACCGCTGAGCTAACTGCCAGCGTAGCGTGAAATTTTTCCCTCAAATATCTTTTAGTGTTAGCTTGAAATAATTGCCACGAAACTAACAAGTAGCGTAACTTTTTCCAAGCTAACAAAACTTCCACTAGCCAACAGCGTAACTGAGTTGACGCTAACATTTAGTGTAACTTATACCAAATTAAGCTACACTACATGCCTAGTTACACTACACTACATTAGAAGTTACACTACACATGTAGCGTAGTGTAGCTCATCAATTAGAGAAATTGATGTTTCAAGCTGGATTTTTGCACAACTTATGTGAAATGTTCATATGACTGATACAGCCGAGGTCCACGGTGACGATTTTCAATGTCCCGTGATCGCACACAATCCTGCAGAATATGAACAGCACAAGATGTGGAGAAAAACGAACTTAGGATGTGCCTGGTGAGATTTGAACTCACAACCTCAGCAATGCTGAGTCACATACAAGAGTGCTTCCTTTACCAACTAGGCTACAGATGCTTGTGATTGCCAGGTCAGTTGGGTGGTAGTTGTCGTGGCCCATGTCAACAGCTCCACCACACTCTGGTGATACATAATGGTAGCAGACTATCATACACCTCAACCCCCCCCCCCCCCCTTGCTACATGATGTGAAAGTGGAAATTGAACACAAGTAAGTGTGGGAATAAAGTATGGTCAGAGGGGGAATTGAACCCATGGTCTTAAGGTAGTCTGACAGGGGAATGTGGTCTTACAAGTAAGTGTTAAAAATGGCAGGGGGCTAAAATTGAGTGGCCCCCAGTACCAACTGAAAAAAAATGATGATCAATTGAGGGGATCTGGATGAAGGCCCCCCAATCAGGTACTGTCTTCAGGGTAGACTAGCGCTAGTCATGTGGTCATGTAACTACATAGTCAGTTACACTAACAGTTAGTGTAACTTTTAATCAGTTACACTAACAGTTAGTGTAACTGAGGGTACCACTACACTAACTGTTAGTGTAACTTTGCAAAAAGTTACACTAACATGTAGTGTAGTGGGTTCACCCACTAACACCGCTAAAATTTCACTAACCTGATTTTGGGTAGTGTTAGTTGTGTCTTTTTAAAGGTAGCTAACACTACACTAAAGTTGTTTTTTGTTTTTCAAAAATCTTGTAGTGTTAGTGGGCCAAAAATTCCCGCTAACGGTAACTTTTGTGTAGTGTAGCTTAAAAAGCTAACACTACGCTACACTAACACTACAGTTAGTGTAACTGGCCCACCGTTGTTCAGTGAAAGAACTGAACTTGAAGAGATAAGCCAAGGCTAGAGAATATCTTTCACATTATTGGGGTAAATATCTTGAAATATTCTAAAACTTATGTTCAATTGACTACTAATTGACAGTAGAATTAATGCAATGATGCATCCATGATGCAATAGGGATTATTTTAGTATTTTAGATCAAGTGTATTATATGTCCCATGGCATCATGATGCATTATTTTAGCAACACTGGGACAGCTACGGAAGTGCAGTAGAATTCCACCAGCCTAGTGCTAACACAGGCCTCCATAACGTTAAAAATATGCTGCAGAGAATCAATAAACTCATAGGATAGATTCTGCGGGTGATGTATGGAAGCTGGAGAAACAAGCATACTGCATACACTCATCAGTTTACATCATTCAAACCCATAGTTATATTCCCCCATGGAACAGTCCACATTGTGGAACTGCTCTGCAAGGAGTAATAAGCTTGGAGGGGATAAACCAGCTAATAAAACTATGAAATAGTAGAATTAGTATTTGAGTGTGGGTGAGACTGCGCTCCTGTCTAGCTAGAGGGAAAGTTACATTAAGAGAAAAAAAGAGTGTGTTGGATTAATAGATTTATCTTAGTAAAGATACTATTTTTGTTGTCTTCATAAGGACACCTGAGGAGGATGAGATGAGTTGTGGAGGGTTTTAGAGTAATAAGGAGTTATGTGGTGATTCTATTTTAATTCTTTTATAAATTCTCTCTGGATCTCTGGTCTGTCAAGACACTCTGGCTTCTCTGGGCCCTGATAATAGTAAGTTTTATTTCCCTAATATCTGCTGATAATTGGTTGATGAATGCTAAGAAATATCTCCAATTACTTCTCTGGTGCAAGTGTAAAGGGTGTGATGAATGCTAAATGATATCTCTCACTCACCAGATGACAGGAGAAATTGTGTAACATTGATTAAAAACTCCAGTGTAGCTCCAACTCTACTGCAATCCATCTACAATGAAAACATAAGTGTGTTACAGGGGGCTGAACTAGAGTTGAGCTGGGTACATAATGGGTAGCATGATGAACTTAGCCTGATGTCACTTGTCATCAAGTGAGCATTGTTTTTTCCTGGTGAACCTGTAATCTTATGCAGAAATTCTATTCAATATTCACAGGAGTGCAAATCTGTGCACTCCAGATTCTTTGGAGTGCACAACCATGTACTCCAAAATCATTCAAGTTTTTCCCTTTTGGGGTGCACTCCAAGGATCCTGGAGTGCACAGGCGAAATATTCGTGTGCAAAAAAGCAGACCCCTGATTTTATATAAACCTAATTTAATATACAGCAATAGAATTGAAAAAACAACAACACCCTACATTTACACACAAAACCCGCAAATGAAAATTTGACCAGGATTTTGTCCAGTGAAACTCCTCAGATATTGTTGTGTATTATGGAAACCTTATGTGGCCTGCACCAGGAAATATTAATCATTGTGGATGACAGGTGACAACACGTAATTACATTTTTTTGATAACCTTTGTGTGCTTCAGGGGACTGATGCTGTGGTGAACTGGATAGATAAGGCATAGGTGACTAAGCTGAGCCTGACATCACCTGTGACAAAGTGCCCATTGCCTTTTCCTAGTTTCAGTGTGCAAGCCTGCTTTCTAGTGTAAAAAGCATGAATAATCTACTACAGCAGGAATATAATTACTTTCAAGGCTAACAAGTAAAGTGGTGTGCTGGTTTGTGAGCCAATAAAAATGGTGTGTGTAGATTGATAGTTTAGCTTGTCACAAAGTTTACAATATCCTTACAGGATGACTTCCATCAAATCTGGATCACTTTTGGATGTCAATCTAGATTCAAAAAGTCTAGATTTTGCAGTGAGGCTCTGAACCAATTCTGAAGGGCCACAAATGGAAGTAAGAGTGTGCTACAGTTGCATTCTTGAAACTACCATTTGCATCAATTAGATTTACAATTACACCTGCTTTGTTTTTTTTGTTTTTGACTTTTAGGCTATCTTCTAAGGTTCTGAAGGAAAAAGAAAATCATCAAAGCACCATACAGCCAGTGCAAGGGAAGGTCTCCTGTTGTTAAACTAAAAGACCAAGGGGTAGAGATATTCTATCAAATTTACTGCTGAAGTTCAGGGGAAATAAGCCAATGTCTTGTTAAGAGTATTCTACAACGACAACTTTGACCAATGGACAGCTACTTTCTTGGGATAGTTGGAATTCCCCTAATTGGTTATCTGTGTTCAAGGATCTGGGATGATTGGGAAAAGGAGCCATTTTGAGATTTTTCCCAGAAGTCTACAGAATACATGTCCTGAGTATGTTATGGGATTAAATACCGGAGGACTTCTTGGCAATTGGCCAACTGCAATTGCAACCTTGAAAATCTAAGTTGGAGACAGCAGTTGAAACACCGATGCAGCTAATGTTGAGCAAATCGTTGTTAGCTTTGAGCTTTGGCCTGAACAGAGGCAGTTGTTCTGCTACCCTAAGTTGATTGCTACTTGGTATGATTGTTCTTGTAGCATTTGAGCGGTGAACAGCGCGACTGTATGATTTTGGAGCCCAAGTAGGTGTTTGTCTTTCTCGAGGTTCATCCATACCCTCTGGGCGTTCCCGTGTCATCCAGCCACATAAAAACACAGTTCTTCAACCATTTTTCCTCGTAATCTCCAGCTCGGTCCTCCGAATCGTCTTGTAGGAGATTAAGATTGAGGAATGGTACCGGCGATTCCAAGTTTGTACCCTGGGCCCGAATGGCAGACCGGATAGTAATGTCAGATATCACTCGTCGGATAATCAAGGATGTTTGGAGGTTAGACCAGATCCTTATATGATCTCCAAAGACGTCTCCAGGTTCTGGCAAAGCCGGATTCGCATCACTTGGAATCGGCTTGGAGTATGGTAAGATATCTTTTGTGTGAGATGTGGCCCTAAGGTTTTATGTGGGAAGAAGAAGAAGAAGAGGAAGTCATGATTCAGGACGAGGGAGATAATTGATCGAGATTGAGTTTGGGTACGCACATCGCCGTCGCAGAGACGTCGCCTAGTTTCCGTTTTTCACATATGATACAGATCACCTTCCAAAACAAGCTCAGTCGGATAGGATTCCAGACGATTGGAGATGAGATCCGGTGTTCCTGGGCATGAAGAGTGCTCGATGATGGGTTAATGAGTGGTGGGGATAGTTTGGGGTCTGACCAGGTGGGTAAGCTGATCAGATCGCCAAACCGACCATAATAGTCATACCTCGTCACACACGACTTCCAGACCGGTATCAACCAGAAACCGCGCCGTTGTGAATCTGGTGATGAGCTGGCTGATAGCAGTTTGAGATCGTAAGTTGGATCTGGTTGGGCGAGGGAGGTGAAGGAGTGCCATGGCTTGAGGGATCTGAGACGAGTTCGGTGGGAGTGAATTGAAGCCTTCTTGGAGCCGGTCGAGCACTCGGTGCGATGTCCAATCAGCAGAGCTTCGGAGGCTGAGAGCGAGGGTGAACGATACGGCTGAGCAGAGGGAGACAGTTGGAATCAGTTGTAAGACTCCAGTCAACGAAAATCCGTGCTGCACAAAACATAGCCTGTGGTCGTCACTCAACTGGGGGTATACAATATTCTAGTGCATCCTCACCTAAGCTATCGATGGGTGCAGTCAGCTGGACTCCTTCGAGTGGTGCTAGATCTGAATTGGATGAGCTGGCTGGTTGATGGGGTGCTTCGATCAAGTTCAGCACCAATCTGAGGTCGTTGGATTGGCTCAAGTAAGAGTCTATCAGCGCAACCGAACACTTTGCCAGTTCTTGCTCAGCCACTGAATGGTCTGGATTCGGTGATGATGGATCAGTACTATGACGTAGAATCCTAAGTTCGAAGCCAAACCCGGGCGTTCGTTGTTCGTGTGGAGATGAGCCGACTCGCCTGACGGTCGATGAGGAAGTGTTCAGGCTGTTGTGGTCAGGCGAAGTCGTCATCCCCTCGATGAACTCTACTTATGCTAGGATGTTTCTTCTCAGTTGGTTCTTCTTGTGAAGTATGTAGTGTAGTGAGTGGGTTTTGGGTCGGTCTGTCAAAAACCGGATCTTTTATATTGTGCGGGGTGGCCGCATTACGTCAATCCGCCCTGTCATCGTCTAGTGGTTAGGACACCAGGTTCTGATCAATCAATCTCCTGGTAACCCCGGTTCAAACCCGGGTGACAGGTCTTTTGTTCCTATTGGACCACATCAAATGGCATCTTTCCTTTTTCGTCGGAAACTTGCAGATCGTCGATCATAAACCCTCTGTTCAAGGATTTTACATAGTCAAAATTGGAAGACAAAACAATGGTTTGTCGGTCATGGACTCATAAAACTTCCCTGGCCAACACCTCTGCAGCTCTTTTTTAAACAAATGCAACAACCCTGTGCTCAGCATAAATTGACAAGGTGACCTTGAGAATGAGAACCAGAAATCTTTCAATACCCAAACAGGAAGGATGGGATAATGATGAAAAGATAATTGACAAGAATCAATTCTCATATGATTGCCAAGCACTCAGTCAGTGCACTCCTCTTGAACCAAGTTTTAACCCATATCAACATGCCCCCCCCCCCCCAGTGCTACATGAGTCTATCTTTCACATATACCACAGAATTTTCAGACAATTTTTGAAAATGGTTTCCACCCTGATCGAGTTAAGATTCTGTACAGCAACTACCCACTGTTGGCTGTGACAAGGGTGTGTTGAGCACAGGAAATGGTGGCTAATGGGAAACTTCCTGTTGGTTCTGGCAGCAATGCAACAGCTACACTAAAAAACTACATAAGTACCACTTCAAAATTAGCATACCTGAGGGTGTTAACTTTCCAGGCTATTAGCTTCAGCAAATCACTCAACCCCAACAATGCTGAATGAACTACACTGAATTACAGTTAATTTGCAAGCTGCTACAGCTAGAAAGCAAGCAAGCACCCACTAAAGCTAAAACTACACTTTTTTGGTTGAACATTGGGTGGCTGTAGCTACAGCTCAGATACATAGAGCTAAGTTGTAGCTGTAGTTTATTGATACAAAAGACACTAGACTACCATCAGAATTTTACTAAATTCAATTTGGCTGTTGCATTGTTGGTTCTTGAGCTGCTACAGAACCAGATTGTTAGCCTCTTCACTCCAATTTAAACACAAAATCTGATCTCATTTTGTCTAAATGTGATTTCATTTTGTCTGAATCTGATGCTATTGGGTCTTTAGATGTTGATCATGGGAGCTTGAAGTTTTTCAATATTCATCTTACCAGCTGTATAAGTAACACAATGTGCTTTGACCTTTGTTATGTATACTTCCAGAAGTGATGGCTGGCTGAGATAATATCATCATCCCCTTTTATTCTCTTTTCACTCAAAATCTGACCTCAAAATCCAGACAGGTTCAAAAGGTTTTCTAGTGTCTCTGAAGCTATATCATCTGTTTTCATCAAGTCAAGATATTCAATGCAATAGTGGTGTGATTACTCTAATTACAGATCTATCTTTGGTTAGATGTGGTTTTGATTTCATTCTAGACAATTTGCTTTTATGATGTTTTATTGGATTGTCTGAAGCATGTAATGATAATTTCAAGTCATCAACTGTCCTTTGATGATCCAAGACCGAATATGTATCTATCATCACAATTTCCTGAAAACACAATTTGATTCCAAATCACTATTATATCAAACCTTGTTCTCTCAGATCATTGATCCTTCGAGGAGAAGTTGATGGTTGAGTGAGACAGACTGGCGAAGTTCTGATGGCTGTGATGGTTGATGTATGTAATTGTATGCGCTGCGCTCATTCCGGTCCCCTTGGTCCGGGGGTCAGTCGCGACTCGCGTGACGCGCATCCACCCAAGTTTCTCATATTTCCATTGGTTGATTCCGTTCGACTTATCCTTGGAATCCTTACATCTCGCCAAATTTATGTATCATGCCTCTGCATTCGGTCGAAGTTGATAATTTCAAGTAAGCCCTGATTCTCACTGTCTTCCACTCTGGTAAAATGTTCAGCCCACTGACTCTTATTGTTCTCATCCTTGGCTGTCGTACTGGGGTCTTGAAGGTCTTACAAAGGTCTGCCGAAGTTTCATCTCGAAAGCTTCACTCAGTTCTGCATTAGAATCCTAACGGCTCATGAATTGGTTGCAACTTTGATTACTGATCTTGACAGGAGTACAGACTATGTACGCGATTTCCATCAATCATTACACTAGCCCTGATAAAGCTGAGCTTTCCCTTAATCTTCCAGCGGTCCGTTCAAACATTTTACCGCTGTCATCGGCCCCAATGGCGCTGGTAAGAGTAACTTGATGGATGCGTGAGTACAAGCCACAATCTCTCTTTACTTTTTTTTTATTTTGCTGATCGACGTAATTTTGCAGAATCTCGTTTGTTTTGGGAGTCCGATCCGCCCAATTACGCTCAACTCAACTCAAAGATTTGATCTACAAAGCCGGTGAACTGGAAGACTCATCTACACCCCATGAACAACCTAAGAAAGCATCTGTCACCGCCAATTATATCGATCACAGGAATGGTCAACAGTATCGGTTTTCCCGAACAATCGTCAGTCACTCATCTATCTCCATTCATTCTCTGCAATCTCACCAGAATCCCTTCCCCTCAATCTTCCCAGACCGTTTCTTCCGATAAGTCAGGCTCCTCAATCTACACGATCAATAAAAAAGTAGTCAAATTGGAGGACTATGTGGCCACCCTTGAATCCCACAACATCCTCGTTAAAGCAAAAAACTTCCTAGTCTTTCAAGGTGACGTCGAGGCTATCGCCAGCCAAAACCCTAAATCCCTTAGTAAATTGATCGATCAAATCAGTGGGTTAGTAATTATTTGCATATTCTCAACAAATCTGAATCATCCTCGAGACCTGATTTTTGTTTTTCTTTCTTGTAAAGCTCTTTGGAATTAGCAGCCGAATATGAGCGAAAGAAAGCAGCTTATTTGGAGGCATCGAAAAATTCAAACGACACGATTGCTAGACGACGAGTGATTAATGCAGAGATTAAGGATTTCAAACATCAGAAAACTGAAATGGAGAAATACGATCAGCTTTGTCACGACCGAGTCAGTGACTTGTTTATCCAATTCGGATCATCAAAATAAGCCTTCTAACTATTCTGTCTTTGGAACCCCTGCTTTCTAGGATGAGGCCATAATCCACCATTTACTCTGGAAACTGTTTCACATCGAGGCGCAGATAAATGAACATTTAGAATCCATCGAATCCAAGAATGAAACTCTAGGGCCCATGCGTCTCGAAGTGGCTGACCTGGAGCGATCTGTGGCTGCGGCCCGACGCGAATATGCTCAAGTGACAAGGGAGGTGGCGAGAACAGAGAATGAATTAAAATCAAAAGAGAAGTACAAAGAGGAAGAGAAGTTACCTCGACTCGTGGAATGTGAAGAGAAGTTGAAACACTTAGAAAAAAAGAAGCTTAATGAAGAGAAAACTATGGCAAACCTTAGCAAGGAGAAGACCGCCAAGGAAAAGGAACTGGTCACGCTCCGACGACAATTGGCCATTGTAACCGAAGCTCGTGACAACTTCTACGGTACTATCTGTTCAATCGCCTGTATTTTTTAAGATCCATACTAACAATGATGTTGCCCAACTCCGACCACAAATAGCCAAGCAACAGGCCAGTAACCGAAATATATCAATCTCCGAAGATAAGCTCAAAGAATACCAAACACTGTAATGCCTCTCCTGGTCTCGTTCATGTGAGATGGTCGACAGAATCAGCCTTCATCGTACTGACCTGGGAGTGCATCGTCCTGTTTTTAGGAAAGCGAAGAGTGCCAATGAATGCCCTAAAGAGCATGAGCTTATCAAAACCATAAATCAAGATCTCAAAACGAAAACCTTTAAACTGAGTCAATTAGAGGATCAACTCGAACAAGCCCAAACTCGGTATAAAAAACTCGACCAGGATCACGATACCCAAACAAACAGGAAAACTATGGTAAGTTGAAATTATGTGGCTCGAAGTTAACAAGACATGACTTTCGGTCTTTTTTGTCAAAATAGACCGAAAACAAAATCGATGGCGTGCTTCGTGAGTTAAATAAGAAGAGAAAGCAGATTCATGACGTTCAAGCGGAAAGGACCCGTCAAGCGTTTGTGCTCTCTTTGTTCTCTTCATTGTCTAAAGTTTTGTCTTACTGAGCTTCTCTTGTTCTCTTAACTCAATCGGATGGCGGGACTTTGCAGTCAAACCGAAACTGAACTCAAAGAAAAGCTTCAAGATTGTTTGAAAAAGATCAGCGAGGCTGGTGCAGCCCAACGTGAGACCGACTCTGAAGTACGTATGCGAACCATGATCGAAAAGCTGCGCAGGTTATTCCCAGGTATGATTTATCTGCTAGTCAACGTTTGAGCTAGTCTCTGAATCTACCATTTTAGGTGTCAGCGGTCGTTTACAAGACCTATGCAGCCCCGTAGCAAGAAAGCACGACGTGGCTATTCGAATTGTATTGGGCCGGAATCTCAACGCTGTTGTTGTGGACTCCCAGAAAACTGCATTTGAATGTGTGGAGGTACCTAGATGATTTAGTATTCAAGTCTCGTAACACCCCACCGAACTGACTTGACCGCCTGATCCAGTATCTGAAAATTCAACGTTTGGGTTCAGCGTCGTTTATTCCTCTCGATACAATCAAAGTGAATCCCGTCAACGAACGTCTCAGAAATCTGGCGAGCGGTGCCCGGTTGGCTATCGATTTGATCAAGCATGACCCCGTCTATGAGAGAGCTGTGCAGCACGCTTGTGGAAATACGATCATTTGCGATTCGACACAAATCGCTCGAAATGTCGTCTATGACAAGGGGAACGAAGTTAAGGGTAAGTAGTGCAGATACCAACTGCCTGCGTGCTCCAAGCAGCTGTACCTTATTATCAACTTTCTTCAATTTCAGCCGTCTCACTGGACGGTACTGTAATTCACAAAGGTGGGAATATGAGTGGAGGGGTTACCGGCTTAGATAGTTCGCGCAAGTTTGATGAACGGGAAGTTCAGGGTGAGTCTGACAACCTCCGCATCCCAATCATCTACTAATCCGAGTCACCCTCATATCAGGTTTGAAACGAGCACAAGAAGATATTCTGGCTAAAATCAAGGCCAACAGTAGCAATGCCCCAAGAGACAACGATGAGGCGTTACTGGCAGATATTTCTCGATTGGAGGCAACGTTGGCATTCCTCAAGGATGACCTGGTATTTTGACCTCTTGCTAGTTAATTTGAATGGTTTACTAATCATCATGACTGAACAGTTGGCAAGTGAAACTGCCCTGTCAGGTATTAGGAGTGAGCTGGAGGTTTTGAGTCAAAAAAAGGATGAAAAAGTGCGTTTTAGAAATCTTGCTTCCCGTACACAATACCTCTCACGATTACATCTAATCCATTCTTCCTCGCCTTAGGCACAAGCCGAGATAGATGCAATCAAAGCCGAACTCAATTCACTACAAGAAGCGCAGATTGCAGTTAATCGGGTTGAAGACAAGATATTTGAATCCTTTTGCAGATCAATTAATGTTGAAAACATTCGAGATTACGAAGGTCACCATTTGCAGCTTCAACAACAGAATAGTGTGGAGCAAGAACGACTTGAAACTACCGTGTCGAAACTACAGCACCAGTTTGGTTATATTTCATTTGGATAATTTGTCGTTCTGCTGGGTACATCCCATTTGATTTGTGGTACTAACTTTTTGCTGTCAACTTCTGCGCAGGATCAACTTTGAAACGGAACAACTCGAGGGTCTAGTAGAACGTCAAGCTACCGTTCAATCTTCTTCGGAGAAGACTCTCAAGACTCTTGAGAGTGTCACCGTCAAAAAACAGCAAGTTCAGAACGAGATGAAGGAAATAGATCAAGAAATTTCGCAATTGAGGTCTCGTCATGATGATTTCGTTCAAACTCAATCGGAAAAAGCGGTCATTGTTTCGGAAACTAAGAAGGAGTTGTCGAAAGCTGTTAAAGTCTTGGATGCAGCTCTAAGAGATATTGGTGGTTGGGTATACAATTGTCTTACTTGAACTATTTCTTAGGTAGACGAATCTGACTACATGGTGCATGATGTGATATGGTAGAACGATGAAATCGAAAGGCTTGTATCCGATCGATTGAACATTTTCCGACGATGCAAGCTAGAAAGCATATCACTACCTATTCTTCAGGGATCGTTACTTCAAATTCCCATGGAGGAAGTACGTGTATTTCGTCAACTTCAATTTCTGGCGACTTGCTTATGGCTTCAGCGTTTTCAGGTCGTCAGAGCTACTCCGGTGGGAGACGAGGCTTCGAGTGAAAATACACCGCGAGCAGTGACCCCTCAAGATTATGGCATCAAGCTTGATTATGCGAAGTTAGATGAGGAGGAGAAAGAGGTCCGTACCTTCTATGGAGCTGCTGGAAGTATTCGTCTATGGAGCAGCTCAGTCTTATAATGTTTTGTTCCTCAGAACCCCAGCTTTGAGCTAGAGCAGCATTTCATCGACAGACTCGCACGACTGAATACGCAGATCGAGGCTATGGTTCCGAAAACGAGAGCTCTAGAAAAGTGAGTAATCTCCTGCCTTGCGCCGCTTTGCATATCGTCTTGTAACATGTGAAAGTTGCCTACTGCAGGTTAGAAGAAGTCGAAAATCGATTGAGGGATCACGACCGAGAATTTGAAGCTGCTCGCAAACTGGCAAGAGCCACCAAGGATGAGTTCAATGAGATCAGGAATAAAAGAGTCAATCTTTTCAATCAGGCTTACAGCCATATCAAAGACGAGATCCATGAAGTTTACCGGGAGTTGACCAGAGGAGATCCCCACGACGGAAGAGTGGCCAGTGAGCGGGGGGTCTCAAATGATGGAAAAGCGTACCTGGAGCTAGATGACTTCGAAGTAGCTTGCAGATTTCTTCAGCATCGGATTTCTTTCAAACAAGCTGATGCCCTTGGACATTAATCTAGGAACCGTATCTACATGGAATTAAGTATAGCACCATGCCACCTGGAAAGCGTTATCGAGATGTCGAGCAACTATCAGGAGGAGAGAAGACGATGGCAGCACTTGCACTTTTATTTGCAATACACAGGTAAGTCTTCGGTTATGGTGATTATATTATAATTGCGTTGGTTTGAATCTGAATTCTCTTGACATATTCATTTTATCGGCAAAAATAAAATAAACAGCTACCAGCCATCGCCTTTCTTTGTTTTGGACGAAGTGGACGCGGCGTTAGATAATACAAATGTCAGACGGATTGCGGATTATGTTCGCAAGAAATCAGGAGAATCGGTGCAATTTGTTGTGATCAGTTTGAAAGGTACTTTTTACGAGAAAGCGTCGGGCTTGGTGGGGATTTATAGGGACAATGAGTGGGGTGGGACGAAGAGTTTGACCCTGGATCTTGATCAATATGGTGATTAAACTAAATCTATATATGTAGCTAGCTACTTGTATTTCTTATCGCGTTCTTCTTTTCTTTTCTCTATTCTGGTTTGTTGTTACATTGGGCTTTTGTTACTGCTGGGATTTGGGGAGGGTCTCTATGTAAAAGTAACCTCAACTTGAAGATCATTACTCTCGTTGTCTGGGAGCAGGACGAGCCAAGAAGATCTTTGCACTTGCTGGAAATCCAACCAAAACCACCGGACAGCTGGATTACACTGCAGGCTGGACTGAACTAAAAATTGAATTAATAAAGTATCAACTCACCCAAGTACGTTTCAATGTCAGCAAGACTTGAAATCCAAACTCAAATCCTTCCACACTTATCAGAATCTGTTTGATTTCCATGCTCAATATGACGTCTTGAGACCAACAGAAATGATAATTTTGAAAAATACGGCTCTCAATACAGAAAGGCATATTTAATTGTGACTTGAGAACACTTTCACTTTTGTTGATGTCAAATATTCATTTCATATAGACTATGATGAATTCCTCACAATGAAAAGTGCTACATGCGTCAAAAGTGATCGAATGGCATAGGCTTGGATTGGAAAGAAGAGATCAAAAAGCATAAGATGAGGCTTAATATTTTTTTTTCTTCTAATAATAAAAAAGGAAGGAAAAAAAAACGGGGGTATGACGGAACGTATATTGTTATATCTATCTACAAGGTCTGTGGTCACAAGTTGATGGAGGGGATGAGGCGGAAGACAAGTGATATGAGAAACGTTTGATCTACTGAGATGATCTGAGAGGTGCATCGAGTGAAGATGGGAATGACTGAGTGAGTAGTTGTATGTGAGAGAAAAATTTTAGAAGAAGAAGAAAAAAAAAATACATCGAAACAAAAGGAAAGATAAATCCGAATCAATCCGCGAATAACTG